TGACTGGACAAGAGATGGAAACTGTGGCAGCGGTGGGGAATGCATCAAGAGCGGTGAGGACACGTCTGCCAAATGAGCTGAGAAAAGAATATCAAAAATAAAGAGGCAAATAATTTCCCATCAAAGCAGTGTGCAACTCTTTTGACACCCTTCTTTCTGAATTCCAAGTTTGCACATAGTAGTTATGTTTCTGTAGTACACGCCCTCAAGAAAGCTACTGCAAGATGGACAGCTTACAGCAGACTTTTTTTTTTTTTTAAAAACAGCAGAAACCACCCAAAATTTATGCACAGGTATTCTTAGCCCACTTGAACAAACCTCTGCAGAGAAAGACAGACACAGACCAATGATATTATCATTGGACTAGTAATCCAGAGACAGAGAAGCAGATAAAAATTGAATTCAAAAAAAATATGGAATAAAAAGCTAGCTTCAGTAATGGTGACCCAACTACTGAATGACATAAAAACTAATTGGGTTAGGAACGTCCTTCAAGAAAGGAAATCTGTCATCTTTTTCTGATCTGGCCTATAAGTGATGTCAAACCTATGGGATGACCCTGAAAACAGCCTACTGAAATGGTCTAGTAAGCCATTTAGTTCACAGGCAATTTCAGAGAGGCAACTAATGTTGGTCTTGCCAGAGACAAATCCCGTGAACTGAAAAAAATGTTTGACCCTGGGCATTTATTTTCTGTTCAAGGAAAACCACGGTTCAGACAAAGTGGTGACACTTTAAAAGAACAATTAAATTCAGTTCCATTCTCCTGCTCCTCCAACATAAGCTATCCAATCCTGATTTTAGTTTTCCCTTTCAAATACACTTCCAGTTCTATTTTAGAATTTCCTCTTGGTGAATTCATACAAACTAGAACATGAGAGGTACCCGTGCTCCAGGCTGACAACGCCCCACCCTGTCCCCATCCCAAGTTATTTCCACACACATTGTTACAAGATTCCTTACCTGTAGAATAGGGGTCAGGCTTCGGCTGTCGTGGCGAGTGGTGGTGCTGAATAACCTGCTGGGGTTTCGCCTGCTGGGGAGGCTGGTGCTGTGGTTGCTGTGGCTGTGGTTGCTGAATGTGGGATGGAAACTGCATTGACTGCATGTGAAGTGGCCTTGGTTGATGCTGCTGTGGCACCTGCTGCTGGGGTAGAGGCTGAGGCTGGGGATGTGGCGGAGGCTGGGTGTGAGGCAGAGGCTGGGGCTGGGTATGAGGCGGCTGGGGCTGACTGTGGACTGGCTGAGGTGGGGGTTGAGGTTGGGATTGGGATGAAGTCTGGACTGTTGAGAGAAGTGGAGTTTGATTCTGGGCCTTTTGTAGCTGTTGCAAGTACAGATGCATCTGACTAGGCTGCAGAGGAATTGAGAGACGAGGTGGTGGTTCCTCTTCTTCCAGCAATGCTGGTGGCTGCGTCATCTGTGGCGGCTGTAATATAGGCTGTGGGACCATGGGTGGGGACTGTGCAAGGGGCCGCGGCTGTTTTGGAGGTAGAGGTGCGGCTTTACCGCTGGGTCTGGATGGCTGTTGAGGGAGACTACTGTGCAAAGCTACAAGGAAAAAGATCACAAAAGGAGGAACTGTTATTAACATTGCTCTTTTCAAAAACAGGTTTAGTAAGCAGGAGGACTTTATCACAAATAATTATAGATGTCTATATTCATTATGTATCATCTCACTCTTGCAGCATCTAACTGTTTCTTAAATGATGAGAGTTTTGTATTCCATTACTGTCACTAGAATTCTACCCTACGTCAATAGCTCCCCGTGTTGAAGGAATTTCAAACATCAAATGTACCCTTTACTAGCTGGAATCTACATCTCCTGAAGCGACTCTTGAAATTTAGTTGTAGAATATTTATTTTATTCATTTCAATGACTCTTACACACTACCTACATAATTCCACTGTTCTAAGCTGAATAGTCTACATTTCTTCATAACACAATCTTGAATTATTTGGAAACCTTTATTCCCCCTCTTGCTTCCAAGGTCTGTCTCTCTATCCCACTCTCTTCAAAGAATGGAACCCACAGACACTCCAGCCAGCATGGCTAAGTGGTACTGAGAAAAAGCACGATATGGGATACTTGCCTTTATCCATTGAGGCATTGAACGGAATACATGGAGGTTATGGTGGACCCAAACATAACACAGAAGTCCAGCTGTGGACTAACCAATGTGCAGTTCTCGTCACCACATTGTAGGAAGAATGGGATTGCACTGGAGAAGGTGCAGGGGTGATGCCTGGGTTGGAGTGTTTCATCTATGAAGACAGACTAGATAGGCTTGGGTCATTTTCTTTGGAGCAGAATAGGCCAAGAGGAGTCTGAATGAGATTTGCAAAATTATCAAGGGGCATCATAGATCGAGGTGATGGGAACAAACTTTTCCTCTTAGTAGAGGAGTCAAAAACCAGCCATGGAGGCTTAAGGTAAGGGACAAAGGTTTAGGGCAGCATTAAGCAGAATTGTTTTCACCCAGGAGGATAATGGTTATCTGGAACTAAACAGGTGGGAAAAGCAGGATCCTTTACAACATTTAAGTAGCATTTAGATAACACTTGAAATGCCATAGCATACAAGGCTATGGGCCAAAAATCGGGCCATGGGATTAGAGTAGATAAGTACACGATCAATGTGGCCACTATAGGTCGAAGAAACTTCTTCCAATGCTGTAATATTCTGATTTCGATGTGTAGAGAAAGCAAGGATTAAGAGGTCTATGTACACAAAATTAATGAAGTAATGCTAATGCAACTTGTAAGTATGTACTCATAAGTATCACTTATTCAGCAAACACTTCAGCAACAAAGGAGATAAAGCACACTAAGCCATCACACTATTGAATATTTTTCCAAAATTCAAGTGGGCACAGTATATATTTATTCCAGCATGGAGGTTCATGGGGAAAAGGCCACAATATAGTGCAGCTTCACAAAACCTCTCAAGCATGATGCTGGACCTTCCTGAAAGGTTAGAAATTAAACCAACCTGGAGGAGACACCACCGAATGTTGTGTGAGATGAGGGGGAGAGTGCTGCTCAGGAGCAGGTGGCAAATGCGTCTGCAGCTCGCTCTGGTGTGGAAGGTGCATCATGGGCGGTCCAAAGTGTGGCATGGCATCATAGGCATTGGTCAATATCTGCGGCTCCATGATTGGAAGAGAAGTAGGTATAAACTGAGGAGGCGACTGCTTCATCGGCTGCGGCTGCTGATGGTGATGGTGGTTCTACAGAAGAGGGAAGGAAGTTTTCATTACAGAATGATGAGTAATGAATGCTGTAATCAATGTTATAATGTTACTGGGGTGTTTTTTCAGGTCCTATTAAGGTATTTTATGCTTTATTTACCTTGTGGGGTTTTCTGGAATTGGTTTTATTACTTGATTAATCAATTATTTTCTTCTCAGCCCTCCCAGTCACCTCATTCAATAGCTAATCACCACATATTTGCTCCCGAGTTTAATACATTCAATGTAATGAGCTGCTGGTATACTCATGTGCCCTAGATGAGACAACATTCCAAATGCCACTCATCTTCTGGTCCAACTTGCAGATGTATACAGTGAATGGAGATTGACAACATGAAGGGACTGTACAATTAAAACTGCATCTCCCAGCTTCTCTGGTGTAACAAATGGCATTACACAAATATGCTACTCCAAAAGAATGAGATTGGCAACTTCAAAATAATGTGCATCATGCTTGGAAGGTATTATACTGGAAATGGCAAAGTTCATCTCGAACTTTGTTTATCTTCATAAAGCAACTGCAGAAGCTACAATAACTGTCTCACCCAGCATCATGGGCTCGAGAGGCAGGGGAAGATTGGAATCAAAAGGATTGATGCTTCTAATCTAGATTCTTCAGGGACGGAAGAGCGAGTTGAAATTGTTGGCTCTGCAGTCAAGAGATTAAATGCCATTCCAACACACAAACCACTGATTCCCATATGACATACCATATAGTCAGTTTTACTCTGTAGGAACCAATGACAAACAATCCACCTCCCACACGACTGCCATTCCAAAAGCAAGAGTTTTAAACAGCCAACAGCAACATTAACGTAATCTCAGACATAGACATGCAGCTGCTACCAGCGTCCATGTTTGCCAAAATTCCCTTTGGTGGTTCAGTTGGTTATATAGACCCCACCCTTTAGAGTCCATAGCATCACACTAACAAAGGAAGACATTACCAGCAGACAATCAAGCATAGCTCGAGTCACAGCTTGCAAATTGAATCTTTACAGTCAACTTTAAGCTAATGACAGTTCTACAATGTAAATAGATTTCACTAGCGATCTACACAGAATCTACTGAACTGACTTGCAAATTTAAATTTTCTGTAGGGAGTATAATGTAGAGTTGATCTGATCACTCGGTTTAGAAACATTTAAAGGATTCAACTGGGTAGATAAAAGCCATTTCCTCTCCACTACGAATGAGCAAAGGATTCAAATTTAAAATTAGAGCTAGGCCATTTAAAAGGCAATTCAAGGGTACCTTGCCCCCCCCCACCCCGCCCTCAAAGTAGTACAAATCTGTGACTTTTCCCCACCAAAACATTGTGAAACAGAGTCAATGAAATTTGAGACTGAAGTCGGTAAGATTTTTGTTGGTAAGGTATTAAAGAAAACAAGAGTTGAAGTACAGGTTAACCATAATCTAAGTGAACACAAGATTTGGCTTCAGGGATAAGTGACCTACTCCTGTGTTCCTTACATGTAAATGTATACTGTTCCAAGTTACAGACTTTTTTGATGATGTTTAGTTACCAAAGCAAATGAACATAAGGGGAAGAGATATTGGCAGATCTCAAACTTGTTCATTTATAACATTTAGAAAAGTTGGCAAGCACTGAAATATTATTCGAGCACATCACAATTATTTATCAAAACACTTGATGGTTTTCTACACTTTTCAAAGACATTTAACATTAGGCAAAGAAAGGTATTACTGCAGCATGTTTGTAAGATTTTAAATTTTTGAATTCCTCTAGGTAGATTACAGTAAAAAGGTTCTTTTTAAGATTACTATCTTATAGTTCTCCCTTTTTAAATATACAATATTTTCCAGCTTTCTTCTTTATTCTATCCCTCAGCATTATTCCTGCACCGGACCCTGGCTGCAGTAAACTGACAAGTCCTTTGATTATATCACTCATGCCCAGCATTGAGGCAAAATGGAAATGACTGGGGTAGACCCAGGCATCAGATTTCCCTGATGCGAAATTACCCCAGCTCAGTGCTGCCAAGATTAGCCTGTGGCCAGGAACAAAGTGGGGGGGGAGGATTAAATCCTATACCTTCAGGATGCATAATATTTTGGACTTGTGTGACTTCCTCTCCATTAAGCTATGTTTTCCTCTCTCCCCTCAAGAGTTACTGAGCACTCCCTTTCTCAAGAGGAATTACAAATGGAACAGTTTTCAAACATATCAGGAAAGCTAACTGCCTGCCTTTTCTCCTGGCTGGCAGTGATAGAAACATTAAAAGATGGGGTCTGGGAAGGTGTTGTTGGTGGGGGGATGAGGAAGAAGAAACAGAAAATGCAGTCATCGAGTCAAACAGCATAGTGCAGTATTTTGCAAATTTACTTATTTTATGCAAATTTCCAGAAGTAGCATGTGAAGAGACACCAAAAGCCCCAATCCATCCCAAAAGTAAAATGAGCACAGTCTCAGCCCAATGTTTATTCCTACCTTCTTCTGCTCCCGTCCAGAGCGATTCTTGTGGCTGCCATGTTTGGCTTTAGGTGGCATCTCTGCAGAAGAGAGTTGAAATTGAGACGTGCTGGCTGACGGACAACCGCATCTAATCCATACTGTACACAAAAGAGCTCCAGCTGACTTTTTTTTCCTTTAAACAGCTCCAACAGAGGACCTGCTTACAGCAGATTACAGCAAGAATTGTTTACATCCCGAAAAATGTATAGAAGCCTTTGTTGTAGAGTAGGAATTTTTCTTTTAAAAAATTAGGGCTAGACATTACATATTTTCCCAATTTCTTTGCATTTTTGCCTGATTTCATCCACCTGTAGCCACAAGGTAGGCACGAGTCAACTGGTATTATTTACCTAGTTCAAGGTTCCCCCTCTGGATTGTCCATCCTTCCATTGGGGATTGGAATTATTCCTCTATAAATGAATATGCATCCCCAATTCTCCATCAGTGCTGTGCTTAGTTCTACTTGCATGATAAATCAACTGGTGTTTTATAAAAATATTGACAATAGAAGACTCAACCTTGTAATTAAATTGTAACAACTAATTATATTCTATTAAGATATGTACTGGCTGCACATTAACCTATACCCTCTGAGCTCAGGAATTAAACATAAGACGATAGTTCTCAAGAGTCTCACTTTAGGAGTTTACTATCGTGCTTTAAGTGCTGTCCTCTGCTCCTATAACATTGCCTTCTTCCTCCGTTACAAAGTGACATTAGAAACAGGTTGCTAAGTACTGCTGTTATTAGCTGCATGAATACTGACAATAGGTTGATGCCTCATTTTCTCTAGCAACGAGGTGACATGTCAATCAATAGGCTCCCTTTCTTCAAGGCCTCCCTACCATGAGGCAGCTGTGTTAAGTAATTATCACATGGGTAATTGGGTGTACAAACCCATTTCCTACAATTCTGTGGGCTTATTGCCCCATTTTCTATAATCATCGATTACTCAGTTTCTTGTACGATTTATCATCTGACAGTTTCAAATTCCTCTAAACCGGTTTAAAATGCTTCTTTCAAATTCAACAGCAGATATCAACTTAAGTCAGCAAACTGTATTTTGTCTGCTCATGAAAAACAATGAACATTGAGAGCCACTGTATCTGATTAAGTACATGCTTGAGACTGTTTTGACCATTGTCCTTCCAACTGCTAATCCAAGGATGAACAAATCACAGCATCAGTTTCTCCTGATGTAATACAATAGGGACAGTAATTCTTGAACAGAGATTCAATTTAACTAGCGTGTTATTAACAGGATACATGCTGTCTTATGGGTTAACAGAATTGCAATCAAATCTGTAAAGGATTGTTTTTGACATCAAAAAAGGGGATTTTCAAACTCCAGTTCAACACATTATACAAACAACAACCAGGTCCAGAGGTTAAGAGTTCCACTCAAATGCTTACACCTCTATGCACATGAACAGTATTATGGATTAGTGGAGGTTTGATCTCTTTGTTCCTCAAAGCACATCGATTACACATTAAAGTGGATTATTTCATTGTATTATCTTAGAGCAAGGAGCTAGTTAAATGATTCCAAAGACTTCCTCCAAAGCACTTTACAGAACATTTCAACACAAATGCTGCTCAGCATGCTAAAACATTATTAACAAGATGATAAACATGTTTTCACCAGGGTTGTCCTCACACTGCCATCAAAATTACTTGCGGTTAAAGCACAAAACTAGTTTATATTAGCTCAGAAAACCGTCAGGAAACAACATTGAATTATTTGAGCAAATCCCTGATACATCCTCGTCCCAAATGGACAGCTAAGTCACAAAAGCATTTCTAACCTAGGTCCAACTTTTCTAAAACAGCTTACCTAAAATGTTTTCAGAAAAGTGCCGCTCACTACAATATTCTGCATAAGGCAGGAGCTACATAAGTAGGAATATAGCAATCCTGACCCCAGATTTAAAAGGATGAAATTCATATTTATGGATGACTCAAATAGATAGCTTCCCAGTTGGTAGACACCATTGCATCAATAGACAAACTAAAATCTACTCAAACTCGTATTTAAAACATGCCTAGGTACACAGAACACACTTAGTACCAAAGGGGGAAAAGATCAGACGTGGTCCTAAAGTTTAGTCAAAGAAGTTTGCTTTCAAGGAAGGATGAGGGAGTGTGTGTTGGATAGCTTAGAAATGGGTGGTTTTCAAGCAGACCCTCACTTCAAAACAGAACACTGAAACATTTTAGACTTTTCACAAAACAAACCAATTCTTTAAGAGAACACTGTATAAAATAGCATACTAATCAAAGTTAAATTTTTGATCAAACTAGTATAAACAGATTAAAATAATTTGGCACATTGTTCAGACCTAAAGCTGGAGCCAATTCCAAGAAGCGAGGAACATTTGAGTCGCTATTATTTTTCAAAAAAAAAAAACACTGCAAAAATGACTTTGCACAATGTAAAAAGTCTAGCCTGTTGAATATTTTTCATGTTACATAAATATAAACCTGACAGGTACTTATAAGACACACTGTTTTCTCTCTGTTTTACCTCAATGGGTCATTTCTCAATAAGTATAGCTCAGATTTTGCTTCTTTACCATAGTATCAAACACTGCACATTACCCCAAACTTCAAATTTAATGAAATGCAAAGCAATGTAGCTTCATCCAGCATCTATTAAACCTGCAATATACAGCAGCAGTTTTTATTATGGTTGCCCTTACAATAACTAATCATTTTCTGTGTATGCAATCATGATCACTGGCAATAAAATATGCTTGACATCTACTCTAATATAATACAAAGCATCACACTAAACTGATGATGTGGAGCATCTTGGGATTCATGTGTGCTCTTAGCCAAGAATGGCTCAGAGTCTGTAATTTTCCTCAAAACTGGGGGCAATAAATAGACTCAACATTATCTGCACTATCTGCTTTGTTAGTCATATAGGAAAATGAATCGGTGAGAAAGCTAGGAAGATGTTAGAATTTGTAATTAATTCATAGTGGAAATCAAATGGCCATACAGCTAAATGTCACAATCATAAGAAGCAATGTCTTTAGAACAGTGTTGCTTCATTATCCTCAATTTAGTTTCAAGTGTTAATGGACTACTCCTAAAATAATTTTTTTATTGTTAGTCATTGTAATGCACATGGACATGTTAATTTCTTTTCTAAAGCTGGGATACCTCATACCTGCCTGATAAAACCATTCAGAACACCAAGATTTACTTTGATGTTGCTTATATCTACACAAAAAAAGCTGTGCAGGAGTGATAACAGCAGATATGCAGCTATAATGGCTCAACAAGAGTTCTCTTGATTCAATAAGGATGTCCCAAGAAGCACATACTCACTGAAATCCAGCAGGTCAAGCCTTCTATTTACCTTCTAAAATAACTGAAGTCACAGAAAAGCAAACCACTCAGGGTACACCCTCATTTACATTCTAGTCCTGAAATTTCGATGTATAAAATGCATTTGAGAATTCCTCAGCTAGAGTTCTTTGTTAACCATTGATGGAGTTCCATGTACAACAGCTAGAATTCAAGAGGATTTATTGGTAGCCTAAGCAGAATTAATTAAACAAGGCTACTTCAAAAACAGATATTTTTAGGTTCTTGTTTGAAGTGTCTGATCACTTCACATAGACCTGAAGATTCCATGTTGTTAATCATTTCAAAAACTAAACTATTTATCTCTACCTTCCCAAATGTGTGTGTAAATAGCTTTCCTTTTATGTGCTCCTCCTTTTATATAGATTGGATCTTTCATTTTGACAGCTGATGTATAACTGCATGGAGTTTCAGATGAGAGTCGGTGAAAAGACGAAGTAATTTTTCTCCCCATTTAACAAACTGTTCCCACATGACCAGCCCACTGTTACTGCATATTTATAATGCATATTAGTAGTTACTGAAGATTGAAGGGAATACCATTTAACCAATATCTCAAGAAATGCTCAACCTTTCAGCAACATTGGAAGATGCAGGACAAATACGAGGCCAAAGGAAAGCATGCTTGAATATCTCCAGTAGATGAAACTGAAAAATTAAAACTAAATTTGCAAGTAAGGACAAAATTATGGGAAGAAAGTACATTATGAAATAAAAACCAAGATGTTAGTATTACTATCAAAACATACACTTACTCGCATTAACGAATAATGCGGATTCTTACATATACCACATCAGGTTAAAACAGAATTACTTGCACATTTCTATCATTCTGTGCACAGTATCGCACTTGAGAGCTCAATGAAAGCAAAAGGGCCATAATTCACTTCCATGGCACTAAAAGGAACCAAAAATCCTGTTGATTATTCAAACAGACCGTAGGAGATATAAGCTGTGATCTATGCAATGAACAACATTTTGGGTATCTTTGCGGGTAGGAAGAAATATTGAGCAGGTAATTTAGTTCAGAGGTGAATTGAATTAAAATATTCTACATTTAAAATATTCTTAAAATAGCTGCTGAGAATTTGGCATTAGATGACTTCATCATTTAAGTATGCCTGCATCATGTAGATGTTTTGGCTTGGCCATGAACATACTGGAATTTTAGCCAAGTTGAATTAACAAACAAACAAACAAACAAACAAACAAACATTCTCAAATTACCAAATGTTCTTGCATTATTTAGTCCAACTTGCATCCTTCCTCTCCCAAAGGCACAGACCCATATTGGAATACAATATGCTCTGACAACAATTTTTTTCTGCAATTTTAGCATGAAGCATATGACATTTTTTCAAATTATAGTGAGGGAAGTTGCGAGTGAAAGCAGGGTCTAATTGATGCTGTAAATGGCATCAACAACTTCGTGAGTGGGGAATGGGGAGAGACACAAGGAGGCAAGGGAAGGCAGTGGGGGGATGGAGACGGGTAGATGGGCGAGGTTGGGAGACAGGTGGGGGAGGAATAGAAAAGCAAGAGGGGGAGGGAAGGAAGCAGAGCAATGAGGGGGAACGAACAGCGTATAGATCGGAGATAAAAGGGAGAGCGTGAGATGAGAGGGATGCAAGCAAGGAGAAAAGTAAATCATCAAGGAAGATAA